GGGCCTCTTACTGTTGTGGCCTCTCCTGTTGCGGAGCACAAGCTCCGGATGCGCAGGCTCAGCGACCATGGCTCACGGGCCCAGCCTCTCCGCGGGATGTGGGATCCTCTCGGACCGGGGCACGAACCCGTGTCCCTTGCATCGGCAGGCGGACTCTCAACCACTGCGCCACCAGGGAAGCCCCTTTAATATTATTTTTATGTACTAGTCTTCCCATCTAAATTTTGATGCCATAAATTTTCATTATTTTATTTTGTTTGAACTGGGTAACTCTTTTGATCTTCTGATAACCAGATGTAAAAATTATTGTCTGCCAATATTGATTTTAGCCATACTCATGTTATGAATATATAATAATATAGTAATCTTCCAGAAAATCACCCTTTAATAGATGGTTTGAAGACCTACATCACCTCTAACTGTTGTGCATTGTAATCTACTAATAATAATACAAAATTGGAAAAGAGAACAAACAAAATAAATTGGTTAGGAATCAGTGTTTCTTCCATTTCATAATTTGTTGAAGAACATAGCATGTAGTGCTTAATCATTCTGCTTTGCAGTGCATTTAAATTAATCAATATGGACATGTGTATACTTTAGAAGTCATCATTTGAGCCCCCCCTTTTTTTCTTTCCTATAGAGGTCTGGAAAATCGAGCCCACAGTGAGCAGTTTAATGCTTTTTTTAGGCTGCCCAAAGAAGAGACTTTGAAAGAAGTACATGAATGTTTCTTATGGGTACCATTCAGCCACTTCAACACTCATGGAAAAATGTGCATCTCAGAAAACTATATCTGCTTTGCTGGCCAGGATGGCAATCTATGTAGTGTAATCATTCCATTACGAGAGGTAAAATAAATTTAGTTACATATCAGTTTTTAGTTCAAAAATGTTACCATTCACAGAGTAAAATACCCTTTAATTCTGTAAATTATTAAAAACTCAATATGCAACATCCTTTTAGTAATTTTAAATAATCATTTTTAAGTGCAGTTATATTCTTCAGGATAAGAGTAGCATTCCTGAGGATAAGAGTACTAGGATAAGAGCCTTATAGCTCTTATTGAAAATGAAAAAAAGAAAAAAAGTAATAAACAAGATAAGGGTTTGGGATGACTCAACATGGAGCATGATCACTCAGATGTTTATGACATGGATACCAAAATTTATACTATCATATTTGATACACATGGTCAGAAAGAATATAATTGATAGCTTTTGTGTAAGTCAGAAATCAATTGTCCATATTGTGGCCCTGAATTTTTACATTTGTATTTTCATTTTTAAAGGTTACATGTTAGTTAAACTTTTCCTTTAGAAGTGAAATATCTTGCACTAAGGTTGCTTGTATTAGTGGTACAACTAGTACCCAAAGTCTATTTCTTACTAAGTCCTACCACGGACCAAAACTTGTAGCCACAAAAAAATAAGCTAAACACATTTTGCCTGACCTTGTCAGTAACAAGGGAAAATATGATTCATTTATGTTTTCATCCCCCAGGTCTTAGCTATAGATAAGACAAATGATTCCAGCAAATCTGTCATCATTAGCATCAGAGGAAAAACAGCTTTTCGCTTCAGTGAAGTTAAAGAATTTGAGCAGTTGGTGGCAAAACTCTGGCTCAAGTGCGGGGCAGCTTCAAATCAGTATCATGATATTAGCACAGAGGTAAGTATCTAGCAATCAAGTCATTTTGATAAAAAGGTTTGTGTTTTGTGTGGTCCATACTTTCAAAAGGAATTCATAGTACCTTTCCTATTCATACTTAGGTTGAGTTTTTGTGAAAGATGAATACCAAAGAAATTATATTCTCTAAGGCACATCATAAAGCAAAAGTGAGAATTAAGGACTTTATCTTTTTTTAGGAACTCAGACTTTTAAAAAAATTATTATCATTTGATCTTTCTTGACTATATTTACTGTTTATCATATATACACTCCTTGTGCTTTTGTTGTTAAAAGACATAACATGGCTTTTAACAACTCAAACTATATTTGAGAATTCAATAAGGCATTGAAAAAGGACTTTCCTCTTATTGCTGTAGAGAGACAATCTATCTTTTTATTTAACATCAAGTAGGTCAGCCATATTTGCATAATCTAGGCCAAAGCAAAATAGTGACATATCTATTTACTAGTAAAATATTAGAGAAGGCAAATATTCTTGGCAGAGGGTGATTAAAAGCCTGATTTTGATGTTTGTCTTTTATGGAAATGTAGATAGTTTCAGTTCAAATTAATTTTCTTTTTCAATGCCAAGGAATCTCATGTTTTAATAGACTGATAAAACACATTATAACTACACATATATATATATATATATTTTTTTTTTTTTTTTTTTTTTTTTTTTTTTTTTTATTCACATTTCCATGATGAGGCTGCTTCTTTTCATCTTCCATATTAGCAAAACTACATAAATACAATGTACCTCTGGAGGCTTTTTTCAAGACAGAACCAGTAGAAACACATTCCCATAGAAAGACTCGCATCGGCAGGTGGACTCCCAACCACTGCGCCACCAGGGAAGCCCCCACTACTTATATTTTAATTAAAAATTCAAAGAAAAAAATCAACATTGGCTTTACTGGCTATATTATTTTACTTGGATTGGATTATAGAGGCTTTTACTTCTTTCTCCAGAGCAGAGACTGAAAATATTATGCTAAGTCAATTAGAATGCAGGATTGACAAGACTAACTCTTCCTTTGATAATAGAAAAGTACAATGAAAACATAACTTTAAACAATATGTGTATCTCAGTTCCAGACACAGAACTTTCATGTTGGCCATTAAGAGTTTTCTTGCCCCAATTTACTAATTTTTCATTCTCTTCAAATATATACCCAGGATATACCATAGTTTGATGTGAGGACATAAGTAAAATCTGATCAGTCTTGCTCCCATATTCTTGCTTATCTCACTTTTTTCTGTCCTAGTCCATTTCATATTCAATCTGTATGTTGGATGTAATGCTCTGCTTATCTTTCCTTCTGTAATTTATCTGTGTCTCTTAAACCTGAATAACTGGAATTTTTCCCCCTGAAAACTCTCAGGCCCCTCTAATAGTTGGATATGCTCAGCAGTTAAGGATTTTGTTTCAAAATGTTTACCATCTTTTCAGATGTATGTCAAAGTTCTAAGCTTTCTAGTTCCTCTTAACCATTTTTAAAGGTTTTAATAAAGATATGTACAAAATACCAGTTGGTATACTGGGTCCTTGGAAATGTATTTTTTTAATTGTCATAACATTCTATTTTCCCTGAAGATTTTTATCTTAGCAATGAGGAAGAATATTAACTTGTTTTAGTATTATCTGTATATGTCTAGCTTTATTTATAGTACATTTTTTTAAAATAGTAAAGAGAGAGCTTGTTAAACAGGAGCTGGTTCCATTTGATTTCTAAATGACAGAAATTGTAGTTACATTATTTTATAGCTATACCTAGCATACTAAAACAAAAAGAAAAAAATTATATTCTGTAATTTTACCAAATCTGGTAAAATTTACACAAACAACAAGACTTTTTATTCTAAATCTCAAAGAAATTTAAATCAACAAATCTAAATATGAATACAGGAAGGACTAGGAAATTTTTCCTGTGAGTACATCAAAATGTGATACAAAGAACAAATGCTCCCAGAAACAATTGGGATTGTACGTACGTACCAGTTCTGTCTAAATTTTTAAATATGTCAATTAAAATTCTCCACACTTTGTTAAGTTATATTAAGATCTGGGTGCATACACTGGTTTTGAAAAATTCTAATCGAATGCTTAGAAAACACATTAATTTTTTATTTTTTTATTAACACATATACACAAGAAATATTACCAGATATGGTAATTTTTCAAAACTATACAAAATGAAAGAAAAGTGGGCCCTTTTAGCTTAATTTTAAGCAAAGTGGCCTAAGGGAAAATACTGCTAAAGATCCTTTACTTGATGCTTTGAGACTACATTATAAGTGGATCATAGGAACTATAGAATGTCAAGAAGACGTAGAAGTTGAGCTATGTATGCATTGAAGTGTTTAGAAGGGCAAATATCTTCTACAGATTATCAAAGCATATATAAACATACTTGTTTCATTAGTTCTCATAACCAGCCCTATCTTTCTAAGTTTTTAAAATTAGAAGTAATGGCTTCCTCATCCTACACAATAATGCAGATAAGAATAATAGTTTAACCCACACAACTGGTGTTTGTTTGCCTTAATAAGAATAACGTAATATGTTTTCTGTAACTATAATATAAATTAGGCTGTGTGGAGTAGATTTATTTCAACATTAGAAAATCAGAAATTTTATTAAAAATAAAATTAGTGCTAATTTAAAATTACGTGCTATGAACAGGAGCCTATTTTAAGATAAGCTTCTGATATCTAAGAGAAGTATTTCCTTGTATTTTTGCTGTAATTTTTAATTTTACAGGTCAACTCTGGCCCCCAACCATCATTATTATGCTGAGTTCGTGAGATATTCTAATTTAAATCTAATAGTTTGTAGAAAAGTTACACATAAAGAAATATTCATCTTTACCCTGCCTTTTCTTCACCTTTAGAAGCCATATGCTATTTCTAAAGTCAATAGCAGATACCAAAAACCAAACCAAGTCTAAGAATACCTGTTATAAAGTCAGCAGCCTGTGTTGCTTCCTCATGTGATTGGATTTTGCACAGGCACCAAATGTCTGATGAGTGTCAAATTTATAACTGTCACAAGTGTGAGCACCCGAATAACTGGATATATAAAATTGGTATGGCCATGAGGTAAAATCCTCCCATTCAAAAGAGCCAGAGCCAAAAAACAAAAAAGTTAAGTAATTTAAGCTTAGTTTCCTGAATACTTTATTATGCTCTTCAAACAATTCAAATATTAAATTGATTTAAACCAGCATCTCTGAAGGTGAATATGTTGATGTGATTTTTGTGAATACTTAAAAGATAATCATGGATAGAAGCAGCACACTTGTCATCCCTTTTATATATTGATGTTTGGGGTTTCATAACTTAAGGGTTAATTTTTCTTTTCCTTCTTGGCTACTTTTCCTGTAGTTTAGATATACTACTAATAGATAAACTGGTTCCTCAGTCATATGGCCTAAATTAAGGGAATGTACTTTGCTTGAGACCCAGACTCCAGCCATGAATTTTTAAATTGGTTTTGCAAAAACATAATCCCTCATTAGAACAGCAAAATGTAACATTAGTAGTAAAGTAGACTTGTCAAAACAAGCTTTTGAAAAAAGAAAAGTGTTGTAATATAGGACGTGTACTCACTAATAGTTTTTTCCTTTGTAAGATTCTTCTGTCCTACCCTTATATTTACACATTGATTTGAATACTCCTTTTAAACTTTCCCTGAATCCTCTTAACTTCCAACCCTTCTAGGTCTTGTTGGCTTCTTGGGTTTCAAGGTGAAATACTACTGGACTGCTTTACCCTAAACTTCTACTTTTCTTCCACCTTAGTCATGGACATTCTTTTCATCTTTCTTAAGCTACTAAAGTTAAAGGGATGATGTTATGTGAGCCTTTTTTTAGTACCTCTAGTGGTAACTTCAGACTTCTGGTATAGTTACAATCCACAGAAGCTGGGTAACTGATATGTATTCAGAGTAAAGCTTTGGAGATCATAAAATTAATGTGGAAATGCAAGGGACCCAGAATAGCTAACACAGTATTCAAGAGGAAGAACAAAGTTGGAGGACTCACAATTCTCAATTTCAAAACTTACTACACAGCTGTAGTAAACAAGACAGCATTATCCTGGTGTAAGGTTAGACATATAGATCAGTGTAATAGAATTGAGAGTCTTGAAATAAAGTCTTACATTTATGGTCAGTTGATTCTTAAAAATTAATTTTATTTTTGGCTGTGTTGGGTTTTCGTTGCTGCGTGTGGGCTTTCTCTAGTTGTGGCGAGTGGGGGCTACTCTTCGTTGCGGTGTGCAGGCTTCTCATTGCAGTGGCTTCTCTTGTTGCAGAGCACGGGCTCTAGGTGCGTGGGCTTCAGTAGTTGTGGCACATGGGCTCAGTAGTTGTGGCTCGCAGGCTCCAGAGTGCAGGCTCAGTAGTTGTGGCGCACAGGCTTAGTTGCTCTGCGGCACGTGGGATCTTCCGATACTAGGGATTGAACCTGTGTCCCCTGCATTGGCAGGCAGATTCTTAACCACTGTGCTACCAGGGAAGTCCCTGGTCAATTGATTTTTCAACAAAGTGCCAAATAAATACAAAGAGGGAAATATAGTCTATTCAGCAAATGGTGTGGGCACAATGGATATCCACATACATATACAAAAAAACATAAAGTTGAACCTTTTTTTACACCATACACAAAAATTAACTCTAAATGGATCAAAGACCTAAATGTAAGAGCTAAAACTATAAAACTCTTAGAGAAAACATAAGAGTAAATCTTCATGACTTTGAATTAGGCAATTTTTTTCTTAGCTGTGACATAAAAACACGACAAAAGAAAAAATATGCAAATTGGCTGCATCAAAATTAAAAATGTTTGTTGTACAAATGATACCATTAAGAAAGTGAAGAGACAATATGCAGAATGAGAGAAAATATTTGCAAATTATATATCTGATAAGGGACATCTATCCAGAATATATAAAAAACTCTTACAACTCAAAAATAAAAGGCAAGTTATCCAGTTTTTTTTAACGGTCGA